GATAATTTTGTATATCTGCCCCTGTCCAAATTGATAAGTATTGCATGCACGCTCTCGAAGTAATTCACACCAGACACAAGTTTCAAGTTGATGAAAGACTTGAGGAAGCTTTACTCCGGGGGGCCGGTATGCCCCTTCTAAAGGAGAAATACATCATATGCATAATTATAGATAACAGAGAAAAATACATCAATAATTGGTAAGGTGTTAAGTGGTACATCAATTGTTCATCCTACCGGGTGAGATGTCACTGGCATCATGGAGCTCTTCTCCAGGTTCCAGCGCCATCTTGTTAATTCGAGGGTGTTAGCTGACGACAGGGGAACTCCCTAGCGGCCATTTTAAGTAGCTTATGAATAATACTGATAATAGTTATGCAGAGTAAATAGGCATTTTACGAAAATTAATAGAGTTAATATTCTGTCCACAACACTATCTGTGGACAATGACTATGAACACCGCCGAGACATCAGCAACATGCCTCACGCATTTCCCAAGTCAGGGAATAGGATAAATTTATAGCCATCTAGCATAGCTGTATGCACCATGGTCACCAATATCTTGCATGCTCCACACACATAAGTTTCTCTGCTGTGTGCTTGTATGATCTACGCCTTTTTCACTATAATTTGCAATTATGTTTTGCTCTGTGCTTTATTGGAGGCGGTGATAGCATGACAACTTAGGTTCCAGCAGTCTCTGCTAGCGACAAATTTCAACGTATTTCTTACATTTAATATTTTACCTTCTTACAGTTATACTCTTCTTGTATTCTTATGCATCTAGTTATGCCAGACACTCCACTTCTGTTAAGCATAGATTGATATCTTAGGCATTTTTGTTATATACTGATAAATAAGGAAGGAAGCACTTTGTTTAGCTTGCTCACCTTTACTATAAAATGTGCAGTTCTTTTTCTATGTGCCATGAAAATGTACCATTTTCAAAAGCTTGTATATGCTGTTGTGGCAAATCATGCATGTTTTTACTCTCCTGCATGCTAAGAAACAAAAAACAAAACATATAAAACACCAATATCTAAAAATAAAAATAGCGTAACACTGTAATGCTAAAATTTCTAAAATGGGAATTGATAGGTATTGCACTCACAAACAGCTACTGATAGAAGTCAATGTAATCATACAACAAGAAAGTGTTCACTCTTCTTAGATTTCCAAGATAGAGTAGATCTCTACATATAAAATCCCTCTATTTATGGATTTGCACTCACAAAATTTAAAAGAATAACAGCTTATCACCAATATCCACTTGAAGCTCCCATCAGAAGAATGTCCAGAAGGTGAAGTATCATGAGAAGCAGCATACAATAACGAATATCATAAACCAAACAAAAAATAAAATCAATATAAAACAACCCTAAGTGTTTCATCTATACTCTGGACTTCTTCAGGGCTGAAAAAAATTGTAAAATCTGTGTCACTATGATCTGTTTCTCATGATATTTCACCTTCTGGACATCCTTCATATTATCTTATAAACTCCAGTTGAAAATGAATCCCATAAATAAAAATAAATGTTTTGCCTGCTTACTAATGTTTTCTTTAAAAATGGTACATATATTACCAATTCAAGAGTATGCAAACTTTTGAGCACCACTGTACCAAGGCCAAATCATCCTAACTTTTTACCCATATTTCCCAGACAGACCTCTCTGTGAGGCTCGTCATGTTCGTCAATATATTACTCTTACAACCCCTCTTTGTGCCCCTTTGTGCCTCCTTCTGGTGTCTTATGTCCAACCTCTCAAACCAGTTTCTTGCCCTGTGATTGCTCACTGGATTAGATGACTGCTGCTCACTCTAGCAGGAATTTGTCAATCTTTTGTTGCTCATTCGGTCAAGTTGCAGCCGCTTCCTCTGCATTTCAGTCAATCAGTTCTCTCTCGTACATTTTATCTTCTCCAGATTGGTCCAAAGAATACTACTAATTTTCCAACCTTTTATTTCAGGCCTACATCACATGCATCCTTTTCAATTGTTTCGGAGTGTTAAAAGAGCAAAATATGAAGCCCCTCGTCTTGCCATAAAAATATGGATTATGCTAGTTTAGTGACTGAATAATCTAAATTTTACTAAAGATAGGAGTCCCACCCTAGAGATTCTTCCCTTCCTACCATGTTTTCTTAATTGGTTTGTTTTTTCCAATTACTGTCTTTTGTAATTGCTGTCTTTTATAACTCAACTAATCTAGTGTATTCTATTTGTTAGCTAAAATCGTTTATTTACTGCAAATATTAGCATTAGCTCAGTTAGAGTTACTCTTTTCTTTTGTTGAAAAGACCATATTTTCACAATGTTTCTCGTTACTTTTAAAGTGAAGATTTATCTATCTCTCTGTGGAGGTTTTTTTCATTGATCATCACCTACTGCTTACCTGGTTGACTACTCGACTGATCAACTACGTATTCTCCTATTCCTCTTAATTCTGCTTGTTTTTCATTTACGTGGCTGATTCTAGTACTGATCAGCTACATCAAGAAAAAGAAGTTGCCAGGAGTCTGATTGTACTATATAGTCTTGATATTTCATTCCAATTAGTATAATTTTTATCCAGATTGTTAACGGTTTCTTTGCTGCTGCAAGGTTCAGCAAAGAAGGATAAAGCTAAATATTTACCTCCTGTCTTTAGTAAAATTTAGCTTATTTGGTCACTAAACTAGAATAATTCCTAATTGTTTATAATTTTGCATAATTAACAATTAGCGACAATTTTATATAGAAAAAAATAACAAAAATGTAAAGTGGTGGAACAATAAACATAAATATATATATAAAAAAAACCCTTATATTCAAACTCCTTAAAAGGAGCATTTTTCTTGTAAATTTCTTTAAAAAAAAAAGAAAAAGGACAAAAAAAGGAAAAGACAGGAAAAGGGATGCTGCAAGTCCTATATAGGAAAATACCACTAACTTATACACATCAAATGGGAAACATATAAAATATAAGAAAGGACCCTCTAGAAATAGCTCTTAACACAAACTAATGCCCAGCAATATAGACTTTGTCTAAACCACTCATTTTGTGGGATAGTGGACAAGCGACCAGACAATACAACATATAAAATTAAACAATTTATTGATAATGCATCTTAGAAAATTGAAGTGATATTAAAAATAGGTGCATATGCAGGCATAAAAAAAAATGACAAAAACCTACAAAAACTGTAGGATTAAAAATTTAAAATAACCCAAATGGGTAAAAATAATCCAAATAGATAGAAAAAAGTGGTTTCCACTTGGTTGCTTAAATGTCCACTGCCTCCTGTATAGTAGTTAATCAGGCCTCCTCAATAACTTCTGGACAGCTTCTGATACTGCAGTGAAAAATCCTTAATGGTTCACTCTGGCAGAGATAGTGTAAAACTTCTTTGAAAATAGCAACTTTGTTCAAATGCATTTTGCCTGTGCTGGCTTTATCAATGACACAAAATTGCAGCTCTCACTTCACTGTTAAATAAGTTGTCCTCACAACCATGTGTGCAGATTCTGTATATTCATTGGCTGATCACTTGTTAAAATGAAACCATATAATAAAAACATGTGGTGCATTTATTAGAAGCCTCTGTGCTTAATATGTACTCTTGTCTTCCTTCTCTAATAAGTGAGCATTTTTCTTGGATTAACCTTCTACAAAAACATACTTTTTTATTTAAAACTCCTAAAAGGGGGCACTTTTCTTGTAGTAACATTTTTAAAGAAACAAAAAAACAAAAACCTTATTGTGGTAAAGAAGAAATCAAAGCATAGAAGAAACAGAGTAGGAAGACAAGGAAGACCAAAAAAAATGAAAGCGAAAAATAAGAGGTCCAGCCAATAGGCAGTTTTAATTAAAAGACCACTATAGTGATAGGAAAACATACTGCTATGTTTATAGGGAAAAAGGGTTAACCCTAGATGGACCAGGCACCCAGACCACCTCATTAAGCTGAAGTGGTCTGTGTGCCTATAGTGGTCCTTTAAGCTAACTTCCCCCTCACAGATAACCATATTACCATCAGAATACCAGCAGTATTGAACAAAGGTTTGAAAAACACATAGATAAGTTCAATAGCACTATTGATATATATATTTTTTTTAAATCAGCAACCTAAGCATTACAAAACGTTTTTTGAAACTCCAATACAGATGGAGATTGAGCCTTCAAATGAATATCAACATAGAAACTCCGCTCCATGTTCTTCCCTGTGAATCAAATCTTTACATATATGGAACTTTTGAAGAAAAAGTAACAAAAGACATAAGCAACATGAAAGCTGAGAAATTCTCAGGAAACAACTTAAGCAAAGGAGAAATAGAAGCCCTGAAGGATTTGTCACAAAATCAGGAGATTGCAATAAAGCCAGCAGACAAGGGTCGAGGTATTGTCATCCTGTCTATAAAAGATTATTTGGTGGAAGCCCACAGATTATTTGGAGACAAGGAGACATACACTATTCTTGAGAACAACCCTTTACCAGACATCACTAAAACACTGCAAGATCTCATTCAAGACTCCAAAGGAAAAAATATTGTAACCATAAATGAATTTGACTTTTTAAATTTACAATATCCCAAAACTCCTGTATTCTGTTATTTTCTGAAGGTCCATAAGGATAAGAAACAACCACCAGGAAGTCCTATTGTTTCGGATATTGATTCGATAATGGCTCAACTATCGGAGTACATAAATTATTTTCTTCAGCCGTATGTCACTAATGTTCCCTCCTATTTGAAAGACACGTCCCATATCATTAACATTCCAACAAATTTTAAATGGTCTCAAAAAGATTATTTAGTAGTGACAGATGTATTATCACTGTATACTATAATAGACCACCAACAAGGATGTAAGGCAGTATCCAATGCACTTCATTCAACTGAGAAATTCATAGTGCATGGTATCAAATTTATACTCCACCATAGCTACTTCTGGTTTGAAGACAATTATTACCTTATTATTACAGAAGAAGGGAACAGCAATGGGGACAAAATTTGCTCCCAGTCTTTCTAACCTGTACATAGGCGAGTGGGAGGATGAATATGTATGGAGTAATCACAAGTGGAGTCAGAACATCAGCCTGTAAAAGACATACATAGACAATATTTTTCTAATTTGGAGAGGAGACAGACACTTTAGAAGAAATTTTGAGACATCTGAACTCGAATAGTTGGGGGGGTCAAACTTAACACCAACTATAGTAATTAGTCTGTGGAATTTCTTGACTTGGTCACTTATACAGAGAGACAAGAAAATTTTTCAAGGAGGTGGCTGTTAATAGTTTTATTTTAAAAAAAGAGTTGCCATTATCCACCTTGGCTGAAAAATATACCAAGTAACAAACTCAAAAGATTAAGAAGTAATTAAATGGATAAAGGAGTCTACCTGGAACAAGCTGAACCAATTAAAAAGTAAAGGCAAATCAAAGGTACATTCCTAGAAAAAGAGGATGAAGAAGATCTAAGCAAGTTGAGACATAAGAAGTGACAGCAACTACACTCCCCCACCCACTCCCTGTTAATTCTGGATTATAGTAAAGAGAATTTGAAATTGAAGAAAATAATCAATAAACATTGGAATCTTCTCCAGAAAGAAAAGCTGTTACACAAGATAATATTAATTAAACCCCGAATTCTCTTCAGGGGTGTTCCAAATTTGAAGAACAAGCTAATGAAGAGCCATAGACACCCCACAAAAAAGAATGCCAAGAAGAAAGACATGAAGGGCTTCTATGCATGTAATAATTGTATTTCATGCAATAATACTAAAAAGAAAACTCTCAAAGGTGTACATCAAGTTACATCCATACATAATAAAACTATTTTCAGGATTGAAGATGTTTTGACATGTAAGAGTAGTAATGTGACCTATGTGTTAAAGTGCCCATGTGGGCTACAATATGTAGGGAGAACCGCATGGAAATTAACTACAAGAGTACGGGAACATATGAGCAACATTAGAAGAACATTTGTTACATTCAGTATCAGCGCATTTTACAGAAGTGCACAATGTGGATGCAAGCCTTTTAGAGTTTATGGCTGCATGCCAAAGAGTAAAATATTGGAGAGAGGGAGATTACATTAGGGAACTTGGAAAGAAAGAAATTATGTAGATCTATCAGTTAGGCACACTACAACCGTATGGTATAAATGTTGAATTTGAATTATGGAGTAGAATAAGAGCTTATAGTATATCCATTTATTGGAAATCAAAAAAAAGGAAAAAGAGAAGGGAGAAGTAAGGAAGTCTAAGGAAAAGAGAAGGATATTTTTTAGAAGGTTAATACAAGAAAAGTGTTCCATTTAAGGAATTTTAATTATCATTTTTTTGTGTGTGTCTCTCTCTTTAATTTTCCCAATTTTTGTCCCATGAATTAGTTTTTGTAGGTTTTTGTCAAATTTGTATTTTTGTTTTTATCCCTGCATATGCACCTATTTTAAATATCACTTCAGAGTTTAAGATGCATTATCAATAAATTGGTTAATTTTTGTAATGTATTGTTTGGTCACGTGTTCATTATCCCACAAAATGAGTGATGTAGACAAAGTCTATATTGCTGGTTATTAGTTTGTGTTAAGAGCTATTTCTAGAGGAGTGGCGCAGTCCTTTCTTAAATTTTATATAGATAGGTTTCTCTGAGAAATAGGTTTCTATTGAGAATACAATAAAAATAGGGTTTGGAAGCAATAGATTTATGTCTTTTAAAAAATACTTCATTATGTATAAGAATATTACGTATTATGTGCAGTCCAACTCATTTCAGGTGCTTCTTGGTTGTTAACATAATCCCAATGCAGTTTTAAAACTACTACTAGGGTAGATGTTATCATAATAATGCTGCAGATTGTAAGAAGGAAACACAATATCCAATTCTTTAGTATCCATGTGCTTCCTTCTTTGTATTTCGTTCTTACTGTATACCATAATTCAGGTACAGTCCATTTTCTGCAGAGCCATGCTGATAATGAGGTTGATTATTCATTTTCCATATCTTCCGTTAACTGTTAATGTATCACCATCTGCCTGTTCATCCTTCTCCTTCACACTTGCAGGTTCAAATATCAGATCATGATTCAGTCTGTTGCATGGCTGTGATTCTGGTGGGTTTTCTTCTTCTTCTTCTGTTTTTTTTCTTGCTTTCTTTAACGGCATCCATTGTGTCAGAGTCAGTGGCTCTGTGGGCATCTTGGAAGTATTTAGCAGGTTTTAAATGATTAATGCCTACTTTTCTGTGTTGACCAGGATTGATCTCTGTGATAAAAATTCTTGGATTAAAAATTGTCACTATTCTCACAGGTTTTTTTCAGAGAGGTTGCAGGGGGCGTACTTTCTGCACCTAGACAAACTGGCTTACAGTAGGAATCCTAGCAGCATGTGGTGGAGTGTGTTACATGGTGGTTTGAAAAAAAAATAATGATTCCATAATCTCTTCTAACAGAACCAATTGTTCTAATCTCCGTGGTGTAGAAATGTAATTGTCAGTGAAAGATGTATAACAAGGTACACAACACAACATTTCATATGGGGATTTACCATTGGTATTATTAGGTATGTTGTTAATTCCCATCCATACCATAGAAATAAGTACATACCACTGTGGGGCTAGAAACTAGCAACTTGGTTAAGTTTTTTCACCTCAGCATTTTTCCTTTCCACAACCCCACTGTTTTGAGGGTGATTAGGAGCACTAAATTCCCAATGTAACCCATATGTAGTTGCCCAGTGCTGGGCTTCCTTTGCAGTAAATGCAAGACCAACATCCGAGTGGATGGTCCTCAGTTTACCAATGCCTATTAATGAAGAGTTTGAAGTCAAACTTCGTACAGGGTATTGCCAAGTAAACCTGAAACATGCATCAACACATACTAAAACATATTTATAACCATGAGCTGGTGACAACGGTCCAATATGATCAATATATAGTAATTCAAAAAGGTATGTTAAGTATTGATTTTTCAATAAATCGAATAACTGTCCTATTCTCATACTTACCGATCGGAGACACTTACTGGTTTCGCCAATCAAACTCCGCCTATGAGTCTGACGTCAGATGCAGCCGCTTTATAAGGAAGCCGCGGAAACTTTAGAATCGCTCAGTTAATTTGTAGCTCAGTGATACAAAGTTGCCATCTGAGCTGTCTGCTCTACTTACCTGTGTACCGCACCTCTGCCACTCCTACACCGACACTGCTGATCTCTCTACTCCCTGAACTTGGAAAGGACTTTGACTATTTTACTGCTTAACCCCACAAACAAAGTTGTTTGAAATTATTTCTTCTCTTGCAAGTAACTTTCTGCAAGGACTTTAACCCTTCACTTGCTTGCTGTCAAAAACTAATCTAATCTACTAATTAAGCTTTATTAGTGCTTTCTTGTTACAACCAGCCTAGGAATTCATGCTGCACCTTTCCTATTCTACTCCAGTACTATTCTGCCTGATTTAATTGTTTGATATTACAATGCTACCTTACTTTGCCTAAAGAATTTATTATATTTTCATCAAAGAAGATACTGTATAATTTACCCAAATTAATCAATAACACTATCCTGCTGAGAAAGGCTTATATTCAACCTGAGAGACTTAAACAAGTAAACATATCTCTGTATTTTTATTACTTAAAGTGACAGTGCAAATTAGTCTTGATTTTTGCGGCTGTGTTCCAAAAAATAAAATAAAAATTATCCCTTAATATTATACCTATTTACCAAAAAGCATAATATTAACAACAGTATCTCATATTGGGCCACCAGCAGTGCCATCTTAACAGCATTATAGGCCCCCGGGCAAAGCAGTGCACTGGAATAAAAATGTAAGTTATCAATAAAAAGCTTATATTTATTGGTACCTCCAACAAATGCCATACATACATACAATACACACACACACACACAGACTGCTGAGCACACACACACAGACTGCTGAGCACGCACACACAGTCTGCTGAATACACACAGAGTGCTGAATACACACACACAGACTGTAGTGAGGGGTGAAGTGTGTGTGAGAGGTGTGCTTCGAGTGAGGGGTGCATAGTGTGTGAGGGTTGCAGAGTTTGAGGGCTTGATGTCCCCCCACCTTTCTTTTTACCTTTGGTGAAGGAGGGGGTGACACTGCCAGCCCTGGTGATCCAGTGGTGGTAAATTCTATATAGCTTGTAGCTCCTCTGGCTGCAGGTTGACTTCACTCCTCCTGAGCTGAGCGCCATGTAGGAGCATTGCCATGGTAATGCGTGGCAATGCTCCGCACAGCCTGCTTGTGGGAGGTGTGATCCGCCTCTTACTTCCTCCCTGCCTCAATCTCCACTGCCGAAGGGTCTTTCTTGTCCAGGCAAGCATCGAGTACTGCATTAAAATTGAGAGAGGGTATGTTTCTTTGATCTAGTGACCACGTTAACAGAATAGCGTTGGCTAACACTTTACACCAAAGTGTCTGCTAATTGATTACCAATTGTGTGAGGAGAGGAATCCAGCTTTCTATGTGCAGGCTCATATATGATTTCATGTCAGGATATTTTTGCAAATATGCATCAGTTTGTTTCCACAAAGTGACAAGTTATAGTAGTTTACTTTGTACTTTAAAAAAAACCTGTTTGAACGCCAGTCTGAGAGATCTTGTACAGTGGATCTTGCTAGATAAGGTAAATCTGTCACTCAAAACCGCTCCCTTTACAGACAAACTTTCTTTCAAATCATGTGGGTATGCATACATTTTAGCATATTATGCTGAATGATCACCTATAAGAGTAGCCCATGTTTTATCTGGCTGTCCAGGTGTGCATTGTACTATACCACAACCTGCAGATTTATTCTTGCTTTCAGATAAAGAGGTACTGGCCGACACATCTGTATAAAATATTGCTTTATAAAAACCATTATGGTGGGTCTAGTTTTCTCATTGCCTTTCTAAATCTGATTAGGTTGGTAAATCACCTAATGTTGTCTTATCATGAATAAAACTTAATTGCAGATCCTCTATTAGAGAAAAAAGAAAACAAACTTTAAAACTTCACTATAGTGTCAGGAACACAAACATGTATTCTTGACCCTATAGTTCTAAAACCGCCGTTTAGGTGGTCGGCCCCCCTTAACTCTGGTTAGAAAGATGATTTACTCAGCTTTTCCAGCACCACGCAGAGCTACTTGCGTCTGACCCTGCCCCCAATCCGCCTGCTTGGCTGACATGATTCCTTAGGAAAGCATTCTATTGGTTAAGACCATCAATTGTGATGATCTCAACTAAGGAAGCTGGGGTGGAGACAAGCACTGCCCTGGCCAATCAGCATTTCCTCATATAGATGCATTGAATCAATGCATCTCTATAGAGAAAGTTCAGTGTCTCCATGTAGAGCGTGGAGACGCTGAATGTCAGTGTTGCACTGCCCCAGGAAGCACCTCTAGTGGCCATCTGAGGAGTGGCCACTAGTTGTTCCAAGGATGTAATGTAAACACACTGCCTTTTCTCTGATATAAAAAATAATTAAAAGGCCTGCAGGGACTGACTGTACTCACCAGAGTTACAACAATAAGCCATTGTTGTTCTGATGACTATAGTGTCCCTTTAAGCAAACGGTGTATTTTTTCATTAAGCCATAATGCTGCTTCTTTAAAAGATGTTGATACTGTGCCAATCATAGTTTTAATATTATATATAGAAATCCCCTGTATTTCTGTCCGCACTGTTTGTATTAATAGACCACTAACAAATCATGCTTTCATTGCTTGTCATAAGTCTCATGAAAACAATTTCTTTCATTAATCTCTCTCTTTCTGCACATGAAGACTGTGCAGCTACTGGTAACTGATGACTGTGTACAGCAAGCATGTCAAACTCGTTGCCCACTGAGAACTTATCTGCGACATAGCCAATCGTGGGGGAACAAAAATCATCTGTCAGACTGACAAGTGATTTTTGTGCCTGCCTCGGCCTGTGCTCTCAGGCAACGTGCGGCTCCAAAAAGGAACCAAAAGCATCCCCCTCACGGTCTGCATAGTAGAGACAGGTGTCACGTGACTACCCAGCTCTCAGTCTGACACTGCGTGCTGCCAGAGAGTGAGAGGCCGCCTCCTTCGCTATATCAGGTGAGAAACAGCAGGGAGGGGGCCCATCTATCAATAGGGCAAAGCAGAGCCCATGCTACCATGACCTCAGGTGCCGGCTCTATGAGATAAATAGCTGCCTACCAGAGCAGGAACAGGGAAGTATGAATGGAAGGGGTAGGAAGGGACACATGGGTGGGGACATAAGAAAGGAAGGGGGATAGGAAGATAGGAATTGAAGAGTTGGGGAGGGAGATATGGATGGAAAGGGAGAAAGAGAGACTTGGATGGAATGGGTTGTGTAAACATGGATGGAAGGGAGGATGGAGACAAAGGGGATAGATATGGAAGGGAGGGAGAGATGGATGGAAGGTGGGAGAGATACATGGAGGGAAACAGATATCGATGGAAGGGAGGGGAGCACAGAGACATGGATGGAAGGGAAGGGGCAGAGAGATGGATGGAAGGGAGAGGAACAGAGACATGGATGGAAGGGAGGGGGCAGAGAGATGGATGGAAGGGAGGGGGACAGAGAGATGGCTGGAAAGGAGGGGGACAGAGAGATGGATGGAAAAGAGGGGGACAGAGAGATGGATGGAAGGGAGGGGAACAGAGACATGGATGGAAGGGAGGGGAACAGAGACATGGATGGAAGGGGGAGCTACACCTTACTCTGCCTGAAGATTGCAGAGGGACTAGGGCGCGAGCGGAGTGGACAGTGCAGCTACCTACCTGGCTGAGACTGCAGTTTGCAGAGGGACTGAGGGCGCGAGCAGAGCGGACACTCCAGACAGTGGCTTTACTACTGAGATGATAAGTAACTTGAGGTAAAGCTTTTAAATTAATTATATATATGTACCCAGGATTACATATTGTTTGCATGAGAATAATACAATTAATTTTGGTTTGTGTTGGTCCAAGTCACATTTTTTTTTTTGCAGCCCACATAAACTTAAACCTGGTTTATCTGGCTCAAGTTGGCATTCGAGTTTGACATGCTTGGTGTACAGGAATCTATAATCACCCCCTGCCTATACCCACTGTCCTGAAACTAATGGACCATGGTATATTAGGTATATTAAGATGGCCAGCAAATATATATATATTTTTTGTGTGTCCTGATGAAAGTCCCAGGTTAGGGACTGAAATGTCGACCAAGACAATAAAACCATTTGACGTTGGAAATCCAGGAGTGCCAGCAAACGTTTATTTTTATTTTGTAGTGTGGCTGGGCTGGAGGTAGGAGTGCAAAAGCTAAAATATTTTTTATATATACATATATATATATATATATATATATATATATATGTCATCGTATTAATTAAGGTTTGCATATTTAAATCTGGTACAGTATTAGGCAGTTCCGTAAAGGTTGGTTGGTCTAAATCCACATTTTCAGCATCAGTTAATTGCATGCTAATCACTGGCTCTTGAACCCCAAAGACCTTATACAAGTTCACTTAATATCATCTCTCCATTATGATCTATTATTTGTGTCTGGGCAAACAAATAGCTCATTAAATTCTTATATTCCAAGAAAAATTGTGCCAACAGATTGTAACCGCAAGTGGTACCCAATTACCCAATATAACATCTTAATTGCTTAGAATTTAGCAGGCAGTATCTTAGCAACAATTTTATTTAGATCAGTTTTCTCTATTTACATATCAACCTATCGTTCCTGTAAGTTTTCTTGTAATTGTCCTATTTATATTTAAATCCCTCCCTCTTATAATATTGTAAAGCACTACGGAATCTGTTGGTGCTATATAAATGGTAATAATAATAATAATAAATAATTAAGAAGACAATAACAGAAAATAGTGATTTGGAAGCAATAACTGTCCTTTTTTAACCCCTTAAGGACCAAACTTCTGGAATAAAAGGGAATCATGACATGTCACACATGTTGTGTCCTTAAGGGGTTAAAATATTGTATTAAATATAAATGTATATATAAATGAATATAAACATATAAAAACTTTAAAAGTTTGCATTCCCCTGGAGAATTGGTTATATATGTACCATTTAAAGAAAACCTAGATTAGCGATATTCTATTAGCGAGTAAACTAATCTATGTTCAAGAAAGTTTCCCTGAACATTGATTTGCAGGATTCCATGCCTTAGTGAACTGGTCTATGTTCAGGGGAATCCCCCTTAATGTAGACCTGCTTTCTAGGATACATTTCCCCCCGAAATAAGACATCGCCAGAAATTAAGCCCTAGTGTGTTTTTCCTGGGAAATATTCTGGGAAAGATGGGATGGGAAGAAAAGAGAGCGTCAGGACCGTCTGGCCTTCATGGCGGCCATCCGTAACAGACCACCTTTTCAATTTGAGGAACACTCCTTAACATTTGTTTCCTGATTTGTCCAGGGCTACCACGGAGTGGCGAGGTTCTCTACGCCCACTAACAAAGGAACTCATTGCCCATAAAATACCGTATCACTGGGGAGCGACAAGAAGCCTAATCATTCCGAAAGAAAATGGCGACCTGAAAATCACTAATGTTGCCGAAATCCCTGACACTCTGCAGACCCTTGGACTACCCTCGCAAGCAGCCGCAGTTCTGTCCCAGCCGACACCTTCAACATCGACTCACAGGGATCCTGCAAGAGTTTGTCCATTCGTACCTGTGGCTCACCAAGGAGATCCTTTGTCAACCCTGGGGTCCTGAACTGTCTGAAATTACTTGCAACACTATTTAAAAATTAAAAAAGTATTTTTTCCTTCTCGTTTAATTTTCTTTAACTGTTTCAGACGTGTTTGCATAATTTACGTAAATCCCTGTGAGATGTTCCTTTGAACACAGTTTGTAGTCCATAACTTCCGATGCTAATTCCAACACCCCCCCCCCCCCACCCTCCGTTGGGCAAATCTTAAATACAGACACTAATGATCCATCCTAAGGGGGTTCTAGCCTCTACCAATAATTACGACCCTACTGAAAGACTTTCATTGACATGGAGGCATCTGGGTGCTTCCCGTCCTAATTGGCACTCTCATTACCTCCCACACAACAGCACTAAGGGGAGAGAGAGCATCCCTTCTAACCTACTACTTATTTAGATATATTACTAATCTCTCATAATCATACAATTGTCTTCTAGCATGCTGTATAACCCAGTTTCTCAACACCCTCCACAAGTCTGGGTAGCTCATGTTGAACGCCTAATTTGTTTTATCTCTAACACAGACATACTCGACTAACCTGTAAATTTGTTACCTAACCAATGTGTGCAATAATCGCATATGCCTCGAATCTGTTACAATGTGTATCTTACAATGCCTGATAATGCTGTTGGGGCATTACAAGAATGTGTGTTAACTGTTTGCACCACTAAAATAAAGAATTAAAAAAAAAAATAGAAAAGAGGGACAGATGGATTTGGGCCCAAAATAGGGACTATTCCTCCTAAATAGGGACACTTTGGAGGCAGTGAAGGGTTAATATAACACACAAAAAGTATACAGTTAAACAAAAAGGCTTACGTGTTTCACGACAGTGACCAATGTCACAACAGTGACCCCTTCACACAGCGTGAAACCCACAGAAAGATGGTTACCGGACCTTAGAATGGCCGGACTAGCGTCTGAGAATAGTCAAAGGAATAGCCAGAGGTCAAGGGAATACGGAAGACGGGCACACGATTATCCAAGCCAAGTAACGGGAAACCAGAACACAGAATAGTCAGAGAGATAGCCAAGGGTCAATTACCAAGAAGGACAAACAGATATAATAGCACCAGGGGACTTTAAACAAGAACCACACTAGGGCATCTGACAAGTGTCATGATAGCCCTTTTACAGTGTGGGTTCTTTGGCTTTAATTTTGTAGCCACGCCCCCAAAAAGTCCGGGAGCGTGGCCACGTTTGAATTTTGGCGGCATTTTCTTTCTGACGTCGGCGCGCATGCGTCGCGTCATAAATGTGGGCGTGTTCCGAGCGGCCGGCGTCAGAAGAGCTGAGCCGCCCCCCGGAAGTATCGAAGGAGGACCCGGCGCTGCGCGGGACCAGCGGGGAAAGGTAAGCACTCGTTACAGTACCCCCCCCTCAAGAACCGCACACAGGGCGGGTGGAACCAAACCCACAAGAGCGCCGCCTCTCAAATAGACTAACCAGACGACGTGCGTGAACATCAGATGCATCGACCCATGACCGTTCTTCGGGACCGTACCCTTTCCAATCAAGGAGATATTGCAATTGACCCCGAGAAATCCAGGAATCTAATATAGATTTAACTTCGTATTCAACATGATCCTCCACGGGTGCGGCAGGAGGAGTGGAGATATTCTGAGTGTAACGATTACAAATGAAAGGTTTGAGAAGGGAAACATGAAAAGCGTTGGGTATTTTCATAGTATTTGGCAATCTCAAACTATAACAGACTGGATTGATGCGTTTGAGTATTTGAAACGGGCCTATGAAACGGGGAGCGAATTTCATTGAGGGTACCTTTAACTTTATGTTGCGGGTACTTAACCAAACCCTGATACCTGCTACGAACGTAGGGGCAGCCCTGCGTCGTCTATCCAAATTCTTCTTTTGAATCTGAGTCTTTTGAGTTAAGATATGTTTAACCCCTAACCAAGTTTCTTTCATATTGTTAAGAGTGCTGTCAACACTAGGCACTCCTGTAGATGAAAAAGAACTCGGCAAAGTTGTAGGATTAAAACCATAATTAATAAAAAAGGGACTATGTTGAGTGGATTCGTGCATCAGATTATTATGGGCAAATTCAGCCCATGGAAGCAGTTCCACCCAATCGTCTTGGTGCTCAGAAGTGAAACAGCGGATGTATTGTTCCAGGCATTGATTCATCCTTTCCGTAACCCCGTTAGATTGGGGATGGTAAGAAGAAGAAAGGTTAAGGATAATACCTAATTGGTCACAAAATGCCCTCCAGAACCGTGAAATTAACTGTGGACCCCTGTCAGAAGTAATATCTTGAGGTATGCCATGTAAACGTACTACCTCTTTTATAAATAAAGAGGCCAGTTCAGAAGAGGAGGGCAATTTGATTAGTGGGATGAGATGAGTCATCTTAGAGAATCTGTCGATTATAGTCAATATAACCCTATGATTCCTGGAGGGAGGTAGATCCACTATAAAATTCATAGCAATACTTGACCAGGGTTTATTGGGAATGGACAATGGCAAAAGGAGGCCCAAAGGACGACCTTTGGATGACTTCGTGGAGGCACAGACCCTACAAGCAAGAATGAACTCGCGAACGTCCTTCTTGTATGAAGGCCACCAAAACTGTTCCTCGAGTAAAGACTCAGTTTTGTGAATGCCTGGATGCCCTGCCAATTTGGAGTTGTGCACAAGGAATAAGACTTTTTTCCTATAAGCCAAGGGTACGTATAATTTTCCCCTGGGAATAGTCAATGAGGTCTGATCCTGAAACCTAGATAATTCCTCCATTAACCCTGAAGAGATTTTGGCATGGACGGTTGCGATAATTTTTTTTTTATTTTTTTTTAAATCTTTATTTTAGTGTGCAATAAAAGAATAACATACAAGCTCACATAGCCACGACAGCATTCGCGTGCTTATTATGGTCAAACATTTACATATATTGCCGTGACATTTAAAACAGTTGCACTTTTTTAGTATAAAGAAACAGGCTGAATTGTAGATTGTGTTGTAAGGCTTAGAAAAATACAGGCTAGAGACCCTATGTTAATAAAAGGTAGAGTATACAAGCTTAACCCAGGGATTTCTGTGGCACGAGTGTTTTACAAGGAGAGTGAAACAGAGTGAAACAGATATCTTTTCTACGAGTTTAACCCCTAGGGGGCCCCCCAGGTAGCTAAAAGCACGTTCCCAGCGGGCGTATGGCAGTCACTGGATATTTATGTGAGGCCTAGATAATTCAAATAAAAACAATAATTATAATCAAAAGAAGAAGTCAGCGCAGTCATGCAACTCAAAGTCAATCAGCAGTGGGCCAGTGTAAATTTGAGAAGCGAGAAAAGAAAAAATATATGATAAAAGCGGCCCAGTCTCTGCGCTGCTTGATGCTTGGTATTGCCAGGCTCAGTCAACCAATGCCGCTTATCGGTCGTTTACCGGAATCCAGCTGTTCTGCTATCCTGCTATGGCGTTTCCAGACGCTGGTTAGGAAGGGTACGTTGTTACCAGTTTGCGTCCCAGGTTTGAGGCTGTGCTGATTTGTGGTCAGGGACCCGACTCTCCGCGGCTTGCAAGGTTTGATGCAGGGCTGAGGTTTGTCCTTTGATATTTCCCACCTCCGTGCTGCTGGTGGCTTTGTTGGGCTCTGTTGCTTGCGCGCTGGTAGAGCTTTCGCCACGGGTGCGCGCTGCTGTGCCCTTTGGTGCTTGCGTGGGGTAGTGTAGAGGTCGGCGGTCGGCCGGGAGCTAACCATAGGTGCCTTCTCGCTCCGGGCCTGTATCAGGGCCGGCATCTTGTAGCCACGGACTCGGGGACTATTGAAGGCCAAGTCCTTCCCTTTCGGTGTAGGTCTGGAGTTCCTGGGGTTGGTGGTATGCCGCCGTCGGCGGGTGGATCTCTGCCTATGTGGTTGATGCATCGGGGTTAATCCCCTGTTGGCCCTGGGCCCAGATGGGCTGGTGTGGAGATTCTTGGACTGAGTTTTCATGGCTTTGCCCAAAGGCAGTCTGGTCCCACTCCAAACTGTGTCGCCTTGTTGGCCCTCCGTACCTCCGATCTCTAGCAGCTTGGATCGCTCTTCCTTTTGTCGGGCCGCGATCTTTGCCCAGAAGGCCTCAAACAGCCCGTCAAGGCGGGTAGTGAGGGAGTCGCTTGTGTTGGGGCTTAGTGGTGGAGGCCCAGGTTGTCCACGAGGCTGCGTGTCTGCCATTTTGATATGGCGGGCTGCATGCCAGTTCGGTGCGTGGATGGGGTCGTTGTCCGCTTTTAGGGTCCACTGGGGCTTGCCCGTCGAGGTGATTGGGACCGGGATAACCCCCACCGGTCCTAAGGGGGGGGGGTAGCCATTTGCTGCGGGTGCTGCATGCGGTTATGGGCTTGGAGAGCGGCCGCCTCTCCAATGCCCTGCTTGGTATAGGCCTCAAGCCTCAGCTTGGTCATTCCGGCGTTATTTCTGGGCGTGTGAGGTATCCCTCTGTTCACAAATGTCTGCAGATCAAGTTGTGATGAATTGGGGATCAGGATTATTTAGTTTGCCCCCGATTTTAGCCAGTAATTGGTCTGAGGCCCAGGAGCTCTCGGTTTGTGCGTCTGCACTGCTGCATAGTCAGGCCACGCCCCCTGACGGTTGCGATTATGTGGTTGGATGGGATTATGGAAGAAAAATGAGTTACTGTAGGTCAGTGTTTCCCAACCCAGTCCTCAAGGCACACCTACCAGTCCAGGATTTAGGGATTACCCAGTTGTGTCTAAGGTGTTTTTTTTCTTCTTTATAAAAACACCTTAGACACAACTGGGTAATCCCTAAATTCTGGACTGGTAGGTGTGCCTTGAGGACTGGGTTGGGAAACACTGCTGTAGGTGATAAGTGTTCATATTGACGGGATAAGGCGTCAGCCTTAGTGTTCTTTGATCCTGGTCTGTAAGTCACTATGTAATTGAATCGTGTTAAAAATAAAGACCATCTAATCTGCCTGTCTGACATTCTTTTAGTTTCTCCAAAATACGAAAGGTTCTTGTGATCCGTAAGGATGGTGATGGGAATGGTAGACCCTTCTAACAGATGGTGCCACTCCTTGAGAGCAGAGATAATAGCCAATAATTCCCTGTCCCCAATGTCATATCTCTTTTCTGTCTCAGTTAATTTCTTAGAAAAAAATCCACAGTAATGCAATGGTTGATCATCAGATGGACGTTGAGACAGCACCGCTCCAATACCGGTTTCAGATGCATCCACCTCTAATATAAAAGGACGAGAGGGATTGGGATGCCTCAACACCGGTGCAGAAGAAAAAGCCAATTTAAGTCTCTCAAAAGCTTCCTTGGCCTCGAGATTCCATTCCATAGAATTTCGCCCCTTTTTTGGTCATGGCAGTGATAGGTGCAGTGATAGAGGAGAAACCCTTAATAAATTTTCTATAATAATTGGCAAACCCCAGAAAGCGTTGGATAGCTTTGAGTCCAACGGGCAGGGGCCAATTAAGGATAGCTTCTAGTTTTTTCTTATCCATTTGAAATCCAGACCCTGAAATTATATAGCCCAGAAAATGCACAGTGTCCTTATCAAATTGACATTTCTCCAACTTACAGTAAAGTCCATTTTCTAAGAGTTTAGAAAGAACCAACCTAACGTGAGTATGGTGGTCTTTAATATTCTTGGAGTAGATTAGAATATCGTCTAAGTAGACAATAACAAACATCTGTAAATATTCCCTTTAAACATCATTAATGAAGTCTTGAAAGACTGCTGGGGCATTACATAACCCGAATGGCATGACCCGATACTCGTAGTGACCATAGCGAGTATTAAAAGAAGTCTTCCATTCGTGCCCTTTTTTAATCCTGACTAGATTGTATGCTCCCCTCAGATCCAATTTCATGAAAATAGTCGCCCCTTTTAATCTATCGAAAAGTTCTTTGATTAAAGGAATAGGATAGGCGTTACGTATAGTTATTCTGTTTAAACCCCGATAATCGATACAGGGCCTTAAGTCCCCTTCCTTCTTGGAAACAAAAAAGAACCCAGCGCCAGCAGGGGAGGAAGATTTAGTGATAAATCCCTTTCTTAAGTTTTCCGTGATATATTCTTCTAGTACCTTATTCTCGGCTACCGAAAGGGGATAAACTGTGCCTCTAGGGGGCATAGTGCCGGGTAATAAGTCAATGGGACAGTCATAGGACCGGTGTGGAGGTAATTTTTCTGCCTCTCGTGGTTCAAAAACTGCTTTCAAATCCCAATATTGTCTGGGTAACTGAGTGGTTAAAGGTTCCATAGTAGGTACATTAAGTAGACCTACGTGTTTAATAGGGGTAATACATTTTCTGCGGCAAGTCTCACTCCATTTTACAATTTCTTTTTTCTCCCAATCTATAGAAGGGTTATGTTTAGAGAGCCAAGGAAAGCCAAGAATAACCGGGAAGATGGGAGAAGTGACCTGTTGCAGGATTATAACCTCCTTATGCAGGGAACCTATGGACAACACCACTGGAAGAGTCTCTTGTGTGATAAACGGGATTGATAATGGTCTACCATCTATGGCCTCAACGGCCAAGGGTGTTGATCTGTTTTGAAATGGGTGAGCATGTTCCTGACCAAATTTATGATCAATAAAATTTTCGGCCTGCCCAGAGTCTATTAAGGCAATGGTTGGCACCCTTTTCTTTTCCCATTCAATAACAATAGGTAGAAGAAGCCTATGATCTTTTTTATCATTAAAGGAGGACATACACATTACACCCAAGGCCTGTCCTCCTTGAGGGCTTAGGTGCGGGAGTTTTCCGGCCGGTTAGGACAGGTTGAACGAGAATGTCCCTTTTGGCCACAATATAGGCATAGTCCCTCCCTACGACGGTATTGTCTTTCATCCTCAGACAAACGCGTAACTCCCAGTTTCATAGGTTCTGGAGGAGCGACTGCTGTTGTATCGGATGAAGGATAAGTTAATGCTAGGCGTTCTGGCACCCGTCGAGGTCTGTCTCTAGTATTCTGTCTGTGTCGGAGACGCTCATCAATGTGGGAAAGGTATGTGATCAGTTCCTCTAGCACATTGGGTAGGTCTCTAGTGGCAACTTCATCTAGAAGTTTATCTGAAAGCCCGTTCATGAATACGTCAATAAACGCTTGTTCATTCCATCTAACTTCGGCCGCATGGGTACGGAATTCTAGAGCGTAATCAACAAGAGAACGAGAACCCTGTCTCATACGTAGCAAGGTCTTGGCAGCATTAGTTCTTCTCCATGGAGGATCAAAAGCCCTCCTAAAAGCTGCGACAAATTCTACATAGTTAAACACTATCGGGTTATCGTTCTCTCATAGAGGATTCGCCCAAGTTAATGCCCTATCAACCAATAAAGTGATGATGTAACCTATCTTTGCCCTATCTGTAGGGTATGCTCTCGGATGAAGCTCAAAATAAATACTAACTTGGTTCAAAAAACCTCGGCAACCTTTATTATCACCCCCGTAACGGAGAGGGGAGGTAGCATGATTAGGAGTACCCATAGTAACCATTTCCATGGGTTGTTCCTGAGGTCTGAGTACTGGGGTTTGCTCCACCGGTTGGAGATGGGCAGTACGAGCTAGCAAGGTTTGTACCGCAATAGCGAACTGGTCCATGCGATGGTCCAGTTCTTCAAACCGGTCATCAGGTACCGGCCCGAGAGGGTTAACACCTGCAGGGTCCATGGCCCTAGTGTAATGTCATGACAGTGACCAATGTCACAACAGTGACCCCTTCACACAGCGTGAAACCCACAGAAAGACGGTTACCGGACCTTAGAATGGCCGGACTAGCGTCTGAGAATAGTCAAAGGAATAGCCAGAGGTCAAGGGAATACGGAAGACGGGCACACGATTATCCAAGCCAAGTAACGGGAAACAGAACACAGAATAGTCAGAGAGATAGCCAAGGGTCAATTACCAAGAAGGACAAACAGATATAATAGCACCAGGGGACTTTAAACAAGAACCACACTAGGGCATCTGACAAGTGTCATGATAGCCCTTTTATAGTGTGGGTTCTTTGGCTTTAATTTTGTAGCCACGCCCCCAAAAAGTCCGGGAGCGTGGCCACGTTTGAATTTTGGCTGCATTTTCTTTCTGACGTCGGCGCACATGCGCCGCGTCATAAATGTGGGCGTGTTCCGAGCGGCCGGCGTCAGAAGAGCTGAGCCGCCCCCGGAAGTATCGGAGGAGGACCCGGCGCTGCACGGGACCGGCGGGGAAAGGTAAGCGCTCATTACAACGTGTACATTTTATTTTCTGGTAACATGTTATCAGTTGACTTAACCAGAACATTTAACCTGTTATTATGACAGGTTATTATGACATTTCGTGATGTTCCAGGATAGTATGTGCTTATGCTGTTCTTTGTACTGTTACAGATCAAATGTCAATGTTTGTCTATCTCTCAGTGGGAACTTTTGCTCTACTTCTGCTTTGTGGTATTTCATGTTCGTACTATATAAGCAATGTAAAATCTATATTAAAACAAGAAATTTGAATAGCTATCCATGTCTCCGTGTCTCTGTGCTTTCAAGCTTCTCCCTCAATATTGAAGACAGACAAGTGCCCTCCATGAGATTGACAGAAGACTATAAGTAGAACTAGATCCTTTCAATTGGTGGCAGAAGTGGGATTGCAGCCAGAGTACTGAGGGTAAATCTCCACCTGTCTTGTTTGACGTTGGTGTCTATGCCTTTGGTCTCTATATGTTGCATCAATAATACAGAAAGGGATTATATACGTTTAAGTGAATCTGCGGTAGATTCAGTTGTATAACCTGCAGGAAGTTAGGCGGTCTGCGGTAGACCAGGACTTTAAAAGAAGAAGTTTTAGTCTTCCTCAATCCGTGGATAATACTGTCTGTAGTATGTCTTATATGTTTTATGTTGGTTAAGGAAAGGGACCTGTATTGGTAAGTTATAGGTTCCTTTCTTTCTTTGGGCCACGGTGTTGACAGAATAGGAAATACTCAAACAAAGTCCTATCCTTCACCACTACCAGGGGAGTCATGTATAAATTATGTTTCACGAGTAGGTACTTTAGGGGGATTTTTGACCATCCCTTTTGTAGATAATATGGCAGGATGGGCAGAATCCATGGGATCTCCAGACCCATTTCCTAGATGTGGAACTAAGGATGAATTTCATCTATCCAGGATAAAGGGACTGTGTTTGGGAGATAAAAAGGCATGGCCTTGGTACGGTCCTGATCCAAAGTGGGATAAGCATTACATGAAAATAGCAGGAGAAAATTGGTTGTTAATAGCCCCTCATTGGCATCCTAACACTGATACAGGAAAAAAGCTAAAAAATAAATCTAAAAAGGAAATAAAAGCCAGCACAGATATTTCAATAGAACAATCAGCAAAAGTTACACCTGAGAAAAAGGAGTTAAAGGCAGAATCCAAATTAGATGTGGGTTTTGTTAACTGTACCCCATATAGGGCAAAACTAAAGGAGGGAACATCTCCCATCTATATTAAACAATATCCAATATCTGACGTCAAAAGGAATAGCATTCGTCCTATGATCCAATCTTTCCTCCGACAGGGTATCTTAAAGCCAGTTGTTTCATCTTACAATACGCCTATTAATCCAGTACCTAAGGGCGAAGGCTACAGATTTGTGCATGATTTCTAGGCATTGTATAGTTTAATCATTCCCATTGCCCCCGATGTAACTACCCTTGTGATGGCCATACCGCATGATGCCACATGCTACACTGTGATTGATCTTAGTAATGCTTTTTTTTCTATACCTATAGAGGAAGAGACACAACTACTTATGGCTTTTACTTTTGAAGGGTGTCAATATACCTGGACACACCTACCCCAAGGCTATGTGGATTCGCCAGTTGTTTATTCCCTGGTGCTCCAACATACTCTTTTCTTTTTTGTTTATTTATTTTTTTATTAAGAGTTATACAAATACATAGAAATTTTTCACATTGAGATACAACAGTAAAGAATTAAAAGAGAGGGAGATGGGAAGAGTACGTACTGTTTCAATTATATACACATTATAATCTTCTGAATCTATTTTCATTGTTATTAAAATACATTTTTGTCTCTTTTTATACATTCCAATTGTTAAATAATAATAAACATTAATCATTTATGAACATATATCAAACTTGACCCATTTGTTACCTCTCCATCTGCAGCTTTTCTAAATAAACATTATTTTCTTCGCTCTAGTACCAATATACTTTGTAATAGAACAATATTCTAATTACTTTTACTTTTAGCCATCTTTCCATTTCTACCATAAACATTGGTAAAAACTATTGATAAGCTCAATGTAAAGTAAAAATAAAAATAAAATAATATAAAATAATAATAATAAAACACAACAAAAGAAGAGAGAAAGAGAAAAAAAAATACTCTTAAGACATGGACTTAAGACATCCAGCCATGGTTCCATCCTCCTTCAGTATGTCAACAACCTACTGTTGTGTAGTCCTAGTGTGGGTGCCTGTACAGCAGATTCGCTTAGTCTGCTTAGACATCTGGCTGCAGAGGGACATAAAGTGGCTAAACACATGAAGCACAGGTCATGTCAAACTAACTTGATTGCATTCTACGAAGAAGTAAGTAGAAATATAGATCAGGGTGTTGCCGTGGATGTGATCTAATTGGATTTTGCCAAGGCATTTGATACAGTTCCACACAATAGATTAGTGTTCAAACTCAAGGAAATCGGTCTAGATGAAAATGCTTGTTCTTGGGTAGAACATTGGCTTAAAAACAGAGTACAAAGAGTTGTCATTAATGGTAAATTTTCAAGCTGGACAGAGGTGGCAAGTGGTGTCCCTCAGGGGTCTGTTCTGGGACCCCTTCTATTTAACATGTTTATAAATGATCTTGAAGACAGCATTGAAAGTCATGTTTCAGTGTTTGCAGATGATACAAAACTTTGTAAAATAATACAATGTGAGCAAGCTATTACTTTGCTGCAGAGGGATTTAGATAGACTGGGGACTGGGCACTCAAATGGCAGATGAAATTTAATGTTGAAAAATGCAAAGTTATGCACTTCGGCATAAAGAATATACAAGCAACGTATACCCTTAATGGAAGCGAATTAGAGATAGCAACACACGAAAAGGACTTGGGAATTGTTTTAGACCACAAACTATGCAACAATGTGAAATGTTAATCAGCAGTGGTCAAGGCCAGTAAGGTATTGTCATGCATGAAAAAGGGCATTCATTCTCAGGCCGAAAATATCATTTTGCCTCTTTATAAATTACTGGTAAGACCCCATATGGAATATGCTGTGCAATTTTGGGCACCTGTTCTAAAGAAGGATATATGGCACTAGAAAAAGTGCAGAGGCGGGCTACAAAATTAATAAAAGGAATGGAACATATCAGCTATGAAGAAAGGTTAACAAATTTAAACCTATTTAGTTTAGAAAAACATCTAAGGGGGATATGATAACATTATACAAATATATTTGGGGCCAATACAAACCATTGTGTGGAAATCTATTCACAAACTAGACTTTACATAGGACACGAGGCCATGCGTTTAGACTGGAAGAAAGAAGATTTCGTCTAAGGCAAAGAAAAGTTTTTTTTACTTTAAGAACAATCAGGATGTGGAATTCTTGCCTGAAGAAGTGGTTTTACCAGAGTCCATACAGATGTTCAAACAGCTACTAGATGCATACTTGCAAAAACAGAATATTCAAGGATATAATCTTTCAATGTAGGGTAATAACTCCTTCATCCAAGGATAAATCTGACTGCCATTCTGGGGTTAAGAAGGAATTTTTTTCCTAGTTTCTTGCAAAATTGTGCTTCAAACTGTTTTTTTTTTTTTTGCCTTCTTTTCGATCAATAGCAAAAAACAAATGTGAGGTAGGCTGAACTTGATGGACGCAACTGTCTTTTCAGCTATGTAACTATGTAACTATATGTAACAATGGTGTCAACCAAAAGTGGACTACCTGGGTTTCGTGCTAGCACCTGGCACTAGACAACTAAGCCCTAAGAAAATTGAGGCAATACAAAGAATACCAAAACCTACTACAAAGGAGTTGCTCACCTTCCTTGGTATGATTAATTACTGCCGCCAATGGATACCTGAATGTTCTCACTATGACTCTATTCTGAGGCAGGCATGCAAACAAGACAAAAATGGAGGAACAAGGGCTGCGCCAAGTAAGATAATGGTGGTGAGACAATGTCTAGAATAAAGGATAAAACGGCAAAATGGTAGAACGTAAGAAGATAGGAATAGTCCAGGTATGACGACCTCGCTTTGCTCTAAAGTGCTTATTGCAGAGGGTGTGTCCTCATGTGGCTGTACAGTAATTTCGTTTATATGAAAGACAGAGGAGAGAGGCAACCAATAGTGCAATATGTCTGGTCCAGTGGGTAACTAGTATATAATGATAATATTAGACTCACATTTGCGAGAGCTATGACCAGCTCTGGCGTGAAGGGCGTACAGCGTTATGATCCTCGCTTATAGGATATAGTGAGTTTCTTCCTTCAGGTGATGTTTCCAGCATTCCGAAAGGGGGTAAAAAGAAACAACTGATAGTGCTTTCTGGGATAAAATATCAGTAGAAACTAGTATAAAATAATGAACTCACATTTGCAAGAGCTATGACCAGCTCTGGCATGAAGGCCGTACAGCGATATGATCCATAGAAACATAGAAACATAGAATGTGACGGCAGATAAGAACCATTCGGCCCATCTAGTCTGCTAAATTTTCTAAATACTTTCATTAGTCCCTGGCCTTATCTTATAGTTAGGATAGCCTTATGCCTATCCCAGGCATGCTTAAACTCCTTTACTGTGTTAATCTCTACCACTTCAACTGGAAGGCTATTCCATGCATCCACTACCCTCTCAGTAAAGTAATACTTCCTAATATTATTTTTAAACTTGTGTCCCTCTAATTTAAGACTATGTCCTCTTGTTGTGGTAGTTTTTCTTCTTTTAAATATAGTCTCCTCCTTTACTGTGTTGATTCCCTTTATGTATCTATCATATACCTTCCTTATTTTGTTTTTAGTCTAACTAATCCTTGTTTTACTTTTCTTTTCTCATTTATGTATCTAAAAAAAGGTTTGTCCCCCTTTTTTACTGACTGTGCTATTTGCTCTTCTGTGTGTGATTTGTAAGCTCTTATAACTTGCTTAGCCTCTTTCTGCCTAATCTTATAGATCATTTTATCTTCCTCACTTTTTTTTATAATTACTAAATGCTAACTTTTTGTTTTTAACTATTTAGCCACATCTGCGGAGTACCACAGTGGTTTCTTGAATTTTTTGATTTCACTGACAAGCCTCATGCAATTTTCTGTTGCCTTCAGTAGTGCAACTTTTAAATAATCCCATTTCTCTTGGACTCCATTTAAATTGCTCCAGTCTGATAATGACTCCTCTACACATATTCTAATTTTAGAAAAGTCTTTTTTTCTAAAGTCTAAAACTTTTGTTTTTGTGTGGTGTGACTCAGTCACTGTTCTTATATTAAACCACACTGACTGATGATCACTGGATTCTTAACTTTCACCTACAGTAATATCTGATACCAAATCTCAATTTTTTAACACTAAATCTAGTATGGCCTCTTTACGAGTTGGCCCCTCAACGACTTGTTTTAGAGACAATCCCAGTAGGGAGTTTAGAATATGTGTGCTCCTGGCACAAGCAGCTATTTTTGTTTTCCAATTCACATCAGGAAGATTAAAGTCACCCATGATGATAACTTCCCTCTTCATTGTCATTTTAGCTATTTCCTCAACTAGTAGATTATCTAACTCTTCAATTTGTCCTGGGGGCCTATAAATCACACCTACACGAGTTACTGTGTGATTACCAAATTCTAACGTAACCCAAACGGACTCTATGTTCGCCTCACTAACTTTTATTAGGCTAGATTTTATGTTATTCTTAACTTACAGGGCCACCCCTCCCCCTTTCTTGCCTTCCCTCTCTTTTCTATATAAAGAGTACCCTGGTATTGCTATGTCCCAGTCATTTTTCTCATTATACCATGTCTCAGTAACAGCGACTAAATCTACACTATCAGTTGCCATTATTGCCACAAGTTCATGGATCTTATTCCCTAAACTGCGAGCATTTGTAGACATGACTCTAAGCTTATCATTTTTTAACACACTTGCTACAGGCACCTTCTGTCCTTACCAAAAACAACAATTAGAGGTCTGGTATGTGTTTTCACCTTCCAAGCCTCTATTTTTGAGTGCTGCGCTGTATAGGGTAAATGTACAAATATACATGCAACTTAGCCCTCTCAATATTTGTTTGGGGGTTTACATGAAAAACACAAAAAGGAAATACACAAAGTAATAGTGTAATATTGTATAAACAGAATAATAATTAGTATGTGAGTTATAACTACTCACATGATTTAGAGCCTTTTCAGATATTAGGCTCTAAACTTGTAGACGTCCGTGCCTTTAAAGGTAGACAGCTTTGACCCCTTTTCAATTCTTCAAGAATTCTTACTTTCCTCCACTCCACAATAAATATATACAAGAAAAAAAGGGAGAGAGACTCTCTAGGTGTAGTATTTTAGAAATCCTCTTAAGTTGGTATTTATAAGGAAGAGAAGAAAAAACAGTAACAGTAGAAAAGAAAACTCTTAGCACAACTCTTAGACAGTTGAAGCGTCTGTAAAACTTTCCAGAATATCTCCAACCACACACTTAGAAGCAACACTTAGATGAAGCAACCAAGCTTAACTTGTGCCACAGCTGATGTGAGGCACAGGAACTGTGTGCATTAATCACCTTTTCCTTCACATTAGTCCCCAGCCGCCCTCAACCGAGCGTGGGTAGCCCCGCCCCTGCCAAAATGGCCGCGGCCCGTTATTACTAAGCCTGTGCCACTGGGAACTACATTTCCCATGCGGCAAAGCTATTATGTTGCGCGTATATGCGCGACACATGTCTCGCTTATGGAATATAGTGGGTCTCTTCCGTCTGTGGTGTGTCCGTCACTCGGGAAGGGGATAAAAAGAAACAACTGATAGTGCTCACAGGTATAAAATATCAATGGTAAGTAATATAAAAATAGTACTCACAAGTGTAGAGCAGACACACTGCTCTATGATGTTAATGTTGGTGGTATGATCCCCACCTAGGATTTCTTGGAGTACAGAGAGTTAAAAAGCCAGGTAGAACAATAAAAGTATATAAAGTGTATAAAAGATGATTGGCACAAAAAAGGTGACCTAAAAATCTTTAATAGAATAAAATACACAATATAAGATTTCCATAACGCGTTTCGTCCAAAAATAGACTTTTTCAAATGGAATAAAGCATGTTACCTGGCTGGTATACTTTTTATAGGGGTGGAATTAATTAGAATTGGCGCCAAAATGGTGCAGCCAATCAACATAGAGTACAGTAATATACTTTACAAAACAAAATTAGATGCTATGTATGCAATAACTCATATCTTAATACAGTAGTTACTAATATAATATATAAAAAACGAGGGCAGCAAAGGATAGTTAATAACTAATGAAAAAAGACATGTGACGTGCATATACGGCTGGGGACTAATGTGAAGAGAAAGTTAATTTATGCACACAGTGCCTGTGTCTCACATCAGCTGTGGCACAAGATAAAATAAGTGGTGTATAATGACCGCGGCCATCTTGGAGGGGGCAGAGGGTGGAGCATTCGGCCATTTTTTGGATGGCAAAGAGTAAATGGATAGCTATTACCATAAAATAGCTGCAATACACTATGCAGGCTATATAGGAATAGCTGGCCTGCATACATTTAAGCTAGGCTGGTAAAATCCATCAGTTATAATGCAGGCTAGTACAGATATATAGACATTTAAATATAGTACCAGATATAATAATAAAAAATATATAAATATAATGATAAATATGGTAAATATGCTATAATGCTATCATATAATGCCAAGGCATTTTTAACCTCTCCCAGAAAGTTTTAACCACTGCACAAATTTCTGTGCTAAGTAAAGGGTTAAAATTTGCCCCTACTAATTCTTTAAAATCTTTTGATGCCTTCCTTGATATTAACAAATTTGATCGTAAAGCTACATTAAAAATATACTTTATTGGGAGGAATGAAGGAACCCAAAACCCAGCTCCCACTCCCCCCAAAATGATCCCTGTATTACTCACCTCAGAGAGAAATCAAAATTTTATCCTTCCCATTTTAAATCAGCACCCCTAGTTTTATTTGAAAAACTAGTCAATAAAGACCTCAAGCAAATCAAAACTACCAAATACGATCCCCATAATCTAACATTTGCAGAGAGAAGGGCCATCAAAGAACTACAAGAAGACAGGGATATTGTGATCAAACCATCAGATAAAGGAGGAGGGTTAGTCATTCAATCTAGCTCACTGTATATAGAAGAGGCCCATAGACAACTTAATGACACTAACGTATATAATAAACTGCCATCAGATCCAACCAAGGACATACAAATGGTCTTATCTAAATTTTTAGAAAAAGGTTTTAACTCGAGTATTTTAAACAAACATGAATTAAATTTTTTAAACAAAATAATATCAACAATACCCGTAATCTATTTCCTCCCAAACATACACAAAGATGAAAGTAAACCCCCAGGAAGACCTATTGTCTCAGGAATAGGTTATCTCCTATGTAATTTATCTCAATATATAGATACCCTCCTACAACCTTCAGTTAAACTAATGAGGTCCTATTTAAAAGATTCTATGTCCCTGTTAAGATTTTTAAACACTTTTAGTTGGAAACCAAACTTTATTTTAGTCACTTGTGATGTTCAGTCCCTCTACACCATTATACCCCACAATATAGGCTGTCAAGCCATAAGAGAGATTTTAACCTCAGAAGGCAAAATTCTCAACATACAAATTGATTTTATAATAGAAGGTATTAATATTATTTTAAACAACAATTATTTTTGGTTTTTAGACTATTTTTACCTCCAAAAGAGAGGCACAGCTATGGGTACTAGGTTTGCCCATAGTTATGCTAATTTATTCATGGCCGATTGGGAATCCTCAGCTATCTGGGGTGACCACCCATGGCGGGCAAACCTAGTCTCATATTTTAGATACATAGATAACCTCTTTTTTATTTGGGATGGTACAGAAGATAATTTAATCTCTTTCATTAATAATCTAAATATTAATAATAGGGGAATCATCCTCTCACATGAATTCAGCAAACTATCAATCAATTTTTTAGATCTTAACATTTTTTTCAACAATGGGCAACTACAAACCAAAACATTTTTCAAAAAAGTGTGTGTAAATACAGCAATTGAGAAATCAAGTTGCCATCACACACCTTGGCTTGAAAGCACCCCTAAGAGTCAATTCCTACGCCTCTGTAAAATTATTCGGAAAGCGACCTTAACCACACTGTTGACATAATAAAACAAAAAGAATGAGGTGACCTTCTAATATACAAAGACAAAAATACCAATGAACCCATGCCTCTTCCCGTTATTTTTAATTATAGCAATAAAAGTGGTAACATAAAAAAGATAATAAAAAAACATTGGCATATACTCAAACACGACAAAATACTCCAACAAAGTTAGAGAACACCCCAATATAGTTTTTAGAGGAGCACCAAATTTTAAATCAATCTTAACAAAAAATTTCACTAAGGAACCCTCTAAAAAAATCACCCCTTTTCTTCTTTCCCCAGACCAAGGGATTTTATAAATGTAAACACTGTGTAGTATGTAGGAACACTGATCCCTCCGTACCATCCAAAGTCACGCAATTTATGTCTAATAGGGCAAAAAAATTCTATACGATAAAAGATTTTATTTGTTGCAGTACTAAAAAATGTATTTATCTGCTTGAATGCCCATGTGGCAGAATCACTCAGTATCCAAACATTTTACTAAACACAATAATAACCCAAAATTACTCAAATGTATCGGTATTAAAAAATGTTCCACCCCATGATGAGGTAGAGACATAAAAAACATTATAGGGAAAACAGAAATTGAATGGGTGCATAATTTACAGACCCTTATACCCCAAGGTCTCAATGCAGATTTTGATCTGCATAACTTTTTATGATCTGATTTTATTTGTGAAGTACACGTATGCTTTAACCTATTATCTATGCCATACTGTGTTTATTTTTTGTTTTTTTATTATATGATAGCATTATAGCATATTTACCATTATATTTATATATTTTTTATTATTATATCTGGTACTATAGTTATATGTCTATATATCTGTACTAGCCTGCATTATAACTGATGGATTTTACCAGCCTAGCTTACATCTATGCAGGCCAGCTATTCCTATATAGCCTGCATAGTGTATTGCAGCTATTTTATGGTAATAGCTATCCATTTACTCCTTGCCATCCAAAAGATGGCCGAATGTTCCACCCTCTGCCCCCTCCAAGATGGCCGCGGTCTGTTTTTATCATGGCCGTGTGGCATTATACACCACTTATTTTAACTTGTGCCACAGCTGATGTGAGGCACAGGCACTGTGTGCATAAATTACCTTTCCCTTCACATTAGTCCCCATCCGCCCTCAACCGAGCGCCAGTAGCCCCGCCCCTTCCAAAATGGCCGCGGCCCGTTATTACTAAGCCTGTGCCACTGGGAACTACATTTCCCATGCAGCAAAGTTATTATGACGCGCGTATATGCATGTCACATGTCTTTTTTCATTAGTTATTAACTATCCTTTGCTACCCTCGTTTTTTATATATTATATTAGTAACTACTGTATGAAGATATTAGTTATTGCATACATAGCTTCTAATTCTGTTTTGTAAAGTATATTACTGTACTCTTTGTTGATTGGCTGCACCATTTTGGCGCCAATTCTAATTAATTCCACCCCTGTAAAAAGTATACCAGCCAGGTAGCATGCTTTATTCCATTTGAAAAAGTCTATTTTTGGACAAAACGCATTATAGAAATCTTATATTGTGTATTTTATTCTATTAAAGATTTTTAGGTCACCTTTTTTGTGCCAATCATCTTTTATACACTTTATATACTTTTATTGTTCTACCTGGCTTTTTAACTCTCTGTACTCCAAGAAATCCTAGGTGGGGATCATACCATCAACGTTGACATCATAGAGCAGTGTGTCTGCTCTACACTTGTGAGTACTACTTTTATATTACTTACCACTGATATTTTATACCTGTGAGCACTATCAGTTGTTTCTTTTTATCCCCTTACTGAGTGACGGACACACCACAGTCGGAAGAGACCCACTATATCCCATAAGCGGGGATCCTACCGCTGTACGCCCTTCATGCCAGAGTTGGTCATAGCTCTTGCAAATGTGAGTTTATAATTTTATACTAGTTTCTACTGATATTTTATCCTAGAAAGCACTGTCAGTTGTTTCTTTTTACCCCCTTTCGGAGTGCTAGATACATCACCTGATGGAAGAAACCCACTATATCCCATAAGCGGGGATCATACCGCTGTACGCCCTTCACGCCAGAGCTGGTCATAGCTCTCACAAATGTGAGTCTAATATTATCATTATATACTAGTTACCCACTGGACCAGACATATTGCACTATTGGTTGCCTCTCTCCTCTGTCTTTCATATAAACAAAATTACTGTACAGCCACGTGAGGACACATCCTCTGCAATAAGCACTTTAGACCAAAGTGAGGTCTTCATATCTGGACTATTCCTATCTTCTTACGTTGTGGAAATTTGAACATTATTCTGCCCTTTTGCCTTTTTATCCTTTATTCTAGACATTGTCTCACCACCATTATCTTACTTGGCGCAGCCCTTGTTCCTCCATTTTTGTATTTCTCCTAACATTCTAAAGGGTTTTGAGGGATTTCCCTTTTTTAAGGGTTGCTGCCTATTGTGTTATTTAGAACTTACTCACTCTGTATGCAAACAAGACAGCCCAGACACTATTCAGTGGACCACTAATTTCATGACTGCATACACAGCACTAAAGGTAGCTATTGTTGAGGCCCCAGCATTAGGACTACCTGATTATTGTAAACCTTTCCATCTTTATTCGCGGGACAACTGTAAAACCATGGCTGCTGTCTGTGCACAAGAGCACAGAGGTGGTATGCGTCCCATAGCATATTTCTCCAAAGTAGTTGCTATACTGGTACAGGGGATGCTGGTGTGTCTTCGGCCTTTGGCAGCATGCTCTATGGCTGAAGAGGGGGCCGCAACTATTACCCTAGGCCACCCCACTATACTTCATACTTCACATCAGGTAATGCATTTAATAAAAAAATCTTACTACACAACACATGACTGCTCAATGCCTTAGTGGTTATGAAATAATTCTGTTAAACACACAGAATCTTTCTATTGTTTATTCACCCATTACATCCGGCCTATGTCTATCCTTCATGTCATACTTACCTCCACTTCGCATTCTATGGAACAGTATCCAGAGCCACATGATTGTATTTCACAAATCCATTTAATCACTTCTCCCTGCCCAGATTTGTCATCTTCTACTTTAGAAGGTGAGGTCGAGGATGTATTTGTTGATGATTCATGTTCTCGTCCGAATGACGGTGAATACCATACTGGTTATGCTGTTGTCCAGTTACCTGACACTGCTCTCGAAGCCCATACCCCATCAATCAGCCCAAGCCGCTGAACTGGTTGCTCTTACCCGTACCTGTCACTTATTTAAGGGTAAACGTGTAAATATTTTTATGGATTCACGTTATGCTCATGGGGTTGTACATGATTTTGGAGTCATTTTGAACAACGAGGGTTTGTAGGAGCAGATGGAAAGAAAATTTCACATACTGAACTAATACAGGAACTACTTGATGTAATACAACTCCCACTGGAGGTAGCCATTATTCATTGTAGAGCTCATACTAATGGTAATGACACAATATCTAGAGAAAATGCTTTTGCTGATAAAATGGCTAAAGAAGTAGCTCTAAATACTATCTATCATAGGGAACTCTCCCCAGATTTCATGATGAAATCCTCATGCCCTTCTGATACCCTCTTTACACACCTGCAGGAATTCGCAACAGAGAAGGATATTTCCTTTTGGCAATCGCAAGTATTAGAGAAAGATCAGTTCGATCTTTACTCTAAAGAGGGAAAGATAGGGATACCTGAAACTAGTTCTCCAATCTTTATCTCTCAGGCTCATGGATCAGGACACAAAAGCATAACCAATACCATACATACCAATACCATACATTCTTTGACATCCTCTTTTTATATTCTCAATCTGAAACAACATGTAAAGGAGTTTGTTCAGATGTGTGAGATGTGTATATGTGCTAATCCAAATATCTCTCGGAAACCATTACATGGTCACTTGCCTCCACCTACTGCACCATTCACACATTTACAAATCGATTTTACACATATTCCCAGAACAAGGACTAAACAGCAATACTTATTGATCATAGTGGACCAATTTAGTAGATGGCCTGAGGCCTTTATGACAAATAGAGAAGATGCAAAAACAGTAGAGAAAATACTCACCACAGAAGTCATTCCTCGATATGGATGTCCTTTACAGATTAATTCTGATAATGGCCCTGCATTTGCAAGCAAAGTCACACAAGAACTTGCTAAATGGTTACAGGTAACATGGAAGTTTCATATACCATATCACCCTCAGAGCTCAGGGGTAGTGGAGAGAATGAATAGGACCATTAAAGAGAAACTTATGAAGGCAACAGCAGTTACGTGGGTACATTTGCAAAAGTATCTTCCAGCCATTTTGGCCGAGATACGCATGACTCCCCACAAAGTGACAAAATCATCTCCTTTTGAGATTTTAATGGGAAGACCATTCCCCACACCGTGGGCCAGGGAACCGTTGGTGATAATGCCTGGTGATTTAGAGTTAATTCAAGAACAATATGTTAAAGAATTGTTGATAAAATTGAATGGTATCTATGGCAATGTTTCTTCGCAGTTTCCTCTGCCTTCACAGGAACCCACTCATCCCTACCAACCTGGAGATGTGGTATCCATCCGACAACTGAATAGGACAAAGAAGGGAGGTTTTCCATTTGGTCCGCCAACCACTGTCATTGCTGTAACCCGTACTGCAGTCCTGACTGACTCCCAAGATTTGTGGATCCACGCATCACAAGTAAAGTCATGTCCAAAGAGGGGAACAACTAGAGGCCTTGACATTCCTGAACCATCGAAACCCAAAACATCTGCCATTCTAATCTGCGATTTTACGTGGCTACGATGAAGGATGAAGGGAAAATCGTAACAGGAGCTTTCTTTTTGTTTCTGCCCCTAACGGTATATCTGGATTGCAATTATGAATATGAACAGTTGGGGAATTTACAACCCATTTGTTTTTGGAAACATAACAAAGTTATTGACAATTCTTCATTTCCCTCCGGAGCCCAATTAGGCCTTATTTTTTCATCTAGAATCAGACACACTCATTCCACCGGATCTGACTGTTCCAGTACGACTCATACATATGTATTTGAATCCAACCATCATGAGGAGGGACAGAAAAAGTGGATAATGACTATAAAAGGCTATTTATGTATATATTATGATAATCAATTTAAGTATCAATTTATGGTAATGAGGGATGATAATTGTAGTTTGATTATTAAGGGAAGCATAAATGATCTTAAACCTAGGTCACAAAAGTGGGAACATAATTTCCCTTTGAATGAGGAACAAAAAGGGCAGGTAAAAAAGGATGTTTCTAGTTACACTAGTTAATACGTTAAGTGACAAGGAGGTAGAAATAAACTGGGAAATAGGATCAATATATTCTTTTAGGATGCCATGGATGTTTTATTGTAATTCTACTAGGGAAGTACCTACGAACCCGTCCATGACTAACCCTAATTATGACATACTTTCCTATGCTTCTACTTCTATACGACACAATACCACAACGGTTCAAAGAAAGCTGATACCCCAAGTTAAGGTTAGAAAGAATCGATCCCTTCACCAATCTCCTCAAACGGAAGCATATACTTGTAATCAAACAAATATAGAAGTAAAATAGAAGGATATACCAGTTAATATTACCATTGGAAATTATACTTTCCCCCCACTGAAACCATGTCCAATTCACAATATAACCGTAGCAAACCAACAACAACTGTGTAGTTGGACTCCTACCTATGATCAAATAATGATTAAGGGCAATGGTATACAGAACTGTACGATGCAGTTCGATAGTGTTATACCATTAAACATATCACAAATAGTTATGTGGCAGGGTGCCTTTCCTATGACATTCGACATAGCTATGTGTGTATTGGATTCTATCCTTAATAAAACACGGAAAGACAAATCATCATTATGTGAATCCTACCAGAAGGTAGATAACATCTTGTCTCCACTTCAGCCAGGAGTGATGGAGATAACATGGCAACCAGGTTTGATATTTTTGTGGGGACAAGAATATCGAGGTGGAAACAAGGTTAAATTATGGGGCTACTGGTTGGGAGCCTTTTTATGCAGTCCCATATCAGAGCCTAACATTAAAATTCAGTCTCATATCCCTATTCCATCTACCTGTGTTAATACCACTTTTATCTCAAAAGCTGTACACATTTATCTGAATATCACTACACCTATAGTGTCTATATGTACTCATGAAAAAGGTAGACATAAAAGAGCACGGTATGATACCTTGCTGGGAGGAACTGGCACCGCTATAGGAGTTTTAAATGGAATTAATATGGAAGTATTAAAGAATAAGTTAAGCTCTGCTGGAAAACACATTGGTACGGGATTTCATGCTACTGCAACACGGACACCCACAGTTGTGGAATCCCAGATTACAGGTCTCCATTTAGAAAAATCAATGTATACTTATTTAGGAGATTTGACCCTGGCAGCAATGAATTTTACTACTGGAAGTAATAACTTGAGTGTTTGTGCTATAAGATATTTATGGATGCAACAACAGAGGTTAGAATTAGAAAATATTCTAATGATACCCAAGGTTGACACGTTTCGTGCAATGATGAAATTGAAACAGGATATGTGGATGAGTTTGGACATATGATCTGTTCGCTACAGGCAGCATATTTGGGGACAACATTCATATTTTTCTTGCTTAACACAATTTACTTTGTATAATGCCAAGGACATAAGGGTAGCATGTAAATTCTTCACCCTGCCCATACCCATTCACAATCTTACAACAGACTATGTTACATGGTGGTCTCCCATTTATACAGGAGAATACATATTCCCCAAAGATAATAAGACCTATTCTCTAGAACACTGTATAAAGATAGATATGGGATATGCATGTAGACACACATCTCCTATCTATGAATCATGCTTGCTACATTCTGGTATTAGTAAGTGTGTATGGAATGTTTATCCCGAAGACTATTTTTCCATGTTAGAAATAGCACCTGGATTTGTGTGCCTGGCTATTAATGTGCCAGTAGGAATAGCTAAAATAGATCTCAGTCTTCCTTTTGCTGGTTGTATACGAAATGTAACTTGGCTTATAATTAAAGGTATATCATATTATACATTTAACCTATTATTATGACAGGTTATTATGACATTTCGTGATGTTCTAGGATAGTATGTGCTAATGCATTTCTTTGTACTGTTACAGATCAAATGTCAATGTTTGTCTATGTCTCATTGGGAACTTTTGCTCTACTTCTGCTTTGTGGTATTTCATGTTTGTACTATATAAGCAATGTTAAATCAATATTAAAGCGAGAACTTTGAATAGCTATCCTTGTCTCTGTGTCTCTGTGCTTTCAAGCTTCTCCCTCAATATTGAAGACAGACAAGTGCCTTCCACAAGATTGACTGAAGACTATAAGTAGAACCAGATTCTTTCAGGCAGACCATAAGTGCAGGGCTGGTAAATGCATTTAAACCACCAGATCGATCACCCTATTAATAATTTTTCTGAACTCCAGTGTCTTTGCATATGCATACTTTGTTTCTCATTCCTACTTTATATCACATATTTACCGATACGCCTCACTACACGAGTTATCAAATTTCTGTCTCCTCATCAGCCTCCTGCACCCCCATTTCTCCATCAGTTGCTGCTTCTTCATTTTAAGCATCTCATGTACCCATTTACATAGTTATTTACTAAAGTGTGAATTGTTTGAAAAATCCCAAGTCAGGTATGCACTCCATTCTTTTCTTTTGTATTTATAATATAATTTGATTTCTATCCAATTTACACATTGGTGAATAACCCTGTATCTGTTCATTTCACCTTTTTATATTTCTTACTATCTTTGTTTTCACTGTCTTTTCCCTCTTCATTCACAGTCTCCTTGTCTCTCCCATCTCCACCAATCTCCATTTGTCACCTCTCCCTAACACGTTTTGCACAACTCTCACCTCCAGCCCCCTCCCTTGTTGCTTACCCTTTAATTTTTATGTTTTCAATTTCATGTAGCATGTAAGCTCATTGGGTAGGGCTCTCAACATCTGTGTTCCTGTGCATCCAACTTGTCTGGTTTATAAAAAAAAATAATAATAATAATCAGGAAAGCAAAGCAGCCGTCAAAAAAGACAAGAAAGGGGAAAATGAAATGGAAAAGCGTTTATCTTTTTTTACACCCACACATAATTCAAGATCAGAAATGGAAAAATATCCAGACAAAAATTCAGAAAATTAAGTTATGTTAACGCCAAATAGAGAAGAGAAAGAGATGACTGAAGATCCCTTTAAAACTATACACCAGGAAGAAACCCAACCTGCTCTACAGGAATATCTAAAATTTCGTTTTGAAAAACAATTGGGACAAATTAAATCAGAGATACAAGTCAATACGCTGGAAATAAAGAAAGACATACAAGCCTTGGAAAAACCGACTGAAAATAAATGAAGAATAAATTGTATCATTAGAAATCCAGTTGGTTCAACAACAAGAAAATCAAAGAGAATTAAAAAATAAAATTAGTGAAATAGAACTAAGATTACCAGACGCAGAAGATAGATCTAAAAGGAACAATTTGAGATTCAGGGATATACCAGAGCAAATACCCAATGACAAGTTGGAAGAATATTTAACGGACTTCATTCAAAAACTGGGTATTCAAGTGCTACCTCGTGTGTTACTGATGGAAAGATGCCACAGAACCGCAAGACCAACGAACATACCGACATCAGTGCCCAGAGATGTAATAGCCCGCTTCTTCTCTTCCAAAGTTCAAGACCAAATAATAAAGTTACGCAGAAATAATTCATTGCAAGATCTATACGACAAGATTAACATCTTTTCAGATCTATCATATGCTACAAGATACAGAAGAAAAATGTTTGCACCATCAAGAACCCATTTAAGAGATAAGAACATACGTTACAAGTTTCAGTATACTATCAATCAAAAGTACTAAATTTTCAGGATCTGGACTCATTGCATATATTGATACAAGATAAGCTTTCAATATATCTTTAAAAAAAGAAGATGGAGAGAAAATGGAATGAGAAGATGGAAATATCTACAATTAAGGGAAGGAAGGGAAAGGAAGAGGATAGAGAATAGCGGAGGGACTTAAAACTACAGCTATGCTTTTTTTTTTCTTCCTCTTTCTCCAATAACTGTTTTGAAAGGGTATAGAGTATATATGCAAATGTTTCTTTGCTACAAGTGGTAAAGTTTCTGAATGTATTGATAATTTATTTTTTATTTTTTACTTTATATACTCAATGGAAGGAAAGGTAAACATATTGAAGTTCCCCTAATAGGTCACATAAATTAAAGAAAAATAATCTCTAAAAATCTGTTAGAAGCCATTAACAGTTTCCAAAGAAGGAATTCCTAATTAAAATATTCCCTATTTGTTTCACAATAAGGAGATAAAATATTATTAACAAGGATTAACTTGGTAGATTTTCCAATTATATAAGATTAGTTATGACTTTTTTAACCCCTTAAGGACACATGACATGTGTGACATGTCATGATTCCCTTTTATTCCAGAGGTTTGGTCCTTAAGGGGTTAAATAGAAAAGGATAACAGGGGGAAAACATTAAAAACACTAAAAATCACAAGATAAAATATTAACAAACACAAAATGGGGTTTAAGTGCATAAGGGAAAGATAAAGGAAAAAGGAATAAGAGAAAAATTAAGAATATAAACAAGGTTGTAAAATAAGCACAGAATATAACTAGATCTATAAAAGAGACTCTCAAAGTTCTAATATACTTTTTTGTGTGTTTTTTTATTTTAAGAGAGTGGTAAAAATAAAAAACAAAGTAAGATGAAACACTAAAAGAGTTTAAAATGCCCTATAGGGTTTGTTTATTTATTGGTTATTTGCTGTCTTTTGAAATGGAATAAAGAGGAATTACTTTATAAGAATAACTGAGAAACTGATGATGGAGGAATAGAGAGATTAAGGAGCAAATAAAGAGAGATGATAACTATTTCTATAGAGAAGGGAAGGGGAGGGAGGGACGAGGGAGGAAAGAAAAGAGAACAGCAGAGATATTGAATTACTAATTTAGATATATTAGAATACATAAAGGCCATACAACTAATTCTAAATTATCAAATGAGAAAGTTAATCAAAATATTGGTAATTGAAATGATATAAGAGATATCTCATATACTCATAGATACCTAATAAATAATGAGTAGAGATGAAAATCCTACCTACAATAAAGTTAGTGACTAAGCAATGAGAGTCCAGAAAGTGAAATATAATTGATAGACATGTGCAATTCGGTTCGGTCTGAATGGAAATTTGGCCGAATTTCGGACATTCTGATGCTTCTGAATGTCCGAAGTGCCCAATTGCCGAATTTTGGAAGTGCTGAACCAAATTGCCGAAGTGCCAAATTTCGGAAGGGCCGAACCGATCCGAATTGCCGAAATTCGGAAGTGCCAAAGTGCTTCGGACTTCTGAAAAGTGGCATTATAGGTTGGGACAGGGGTAGGGATAGGGCCTGGGGTAGGAGTAGTGTTATGGGTAGGATTAGGGTTAGGTTAGGAGTGGGGTTAGAGTTAGGGTAGGGTTAGGATTAGGGTTGGGTAAGGAGTAGGGTTAGGGATAGGGTAGGGTTAGGTTTAGGGGTACCCCTACTCCTAACCCTACCCTACTCCTAAACCTAACCTTACCCTAACCATAACACTAATCCTAACCCAACCCTACTCCTAACCCTAATCTTATCCCAACCCTAATCTTAACCCAACCCTAACCCTACCCTAACCCAACCCTAACCTTATACCTAACCCTACCCTACTCCTAAACCAACCCTAACACTACTCTTAACCCAACTCTAACCCTAACCCTACTCCTAACCCAACCCTAAGACTACTGTTAACCCAACCCTAACCGTACTCCTAAACTAACCCTACCCTACTCCTAACCCAACCCTACTCCTAACCTAACCCTACTCCTACCCCAACCCTAATCCTAACTCTAATCGTAACCTAACCCTACTCCTACCCCAACCCTAATCCTAACTCTAATCATAACCTAACCCTACTCCTAACCCAACCCTAATCCTACTCCTAACCCAACCTTACTCCTAACACTAACCCTACTCCTAACCCAACCCAACCCTTACCCTACTCCTAACCCTAACCCAACCCTAATCCTACTCCTAACCCAACCTTACTCCTAACACTAACCCTACTCCTAACCCAACCCAACCCTTACCCCTACTCCAAACCCAACCCTAACCCCCGAAGTCCAGAAGTCCCGAATTTTGGAAGTGCCGAACCAAAGTGCCGAATTGCCGAGGTCCAGAATTTCAGATTGCCGAACTGAACCAAATTTTTTGCCCATGCCCATCCTTAATAATTGATGGTCACATGGGAATTTTTTGCCAAGATGTGAGAAGAGAAATAGAGAAAGAAAGTACAAATAAGGAGAGAGAAAATAGAATATGTAAGGAGTTAATATTAATTTGCATATGTAGTTTCAGTTTTGCCAAAATGCCGCTTTTTATGTAATATACTATTTATTATTATAGGATGCACCAGTAAAACTTAATCACACCTGCACAATGATAGTTTCATAGGTAAATTACACTATCAAAAGGTTCTAGAGGCAGGGAAGGACCCCAGAACCATATTTTAAATTTCCTAACTCAATATGGGAACATATTTAAATGTTATATTTTTTTATGTCTATGTAATGTTAGTAAAGTATTCGTTAAATTGGAAGCAGCAAGGAAAAGAAGGTACTAGTAGGAAAGAATATATTAGTGAAATTAATATCAATTAATGCTCAGTGTCAGGACCTGCTCTGTCCTGTTCAGATATCTGACCTTGGCTTCTGGTATCCAGTACTCTATTTACAATTCTTGTTTAGTTTTTCTTGGTTTTTCTGGTTTTCTATTATGTGTCTGGTTTTCTTTATGCTGGGTATTCTGGGTTCATTCCTTTATTCTGTTTCTGGAATTCCCAGTCTCCTGGATTCCTTTATATGTTTGTTTTATGTTGCCACACCAGTTCCTTTTCCATTAATCCTTTTGTTTCACTTGGTTCCTGCAGGCAGTTGCTCAAAGTCTTCTGCTCCTTTCTTTCAGGTAAGCGCTGTGTGTGTTTTATTATTGTTTATTTAGTCATGCATATCTAGGCAGATAGGACCCACCGTACTTGGAGTACTTTGGTGCAGTGGTGGGCTGCATACATCATGGCCATTTATTTATGTCTAAATCTCCAATGTTTTATATATGTAGTACTTAGTTTTGTCTCCTCTTGTTTTGCCTATTATAACTTGTCTTGTTTTATT